GAAGCTTAAAGTGAGGAGGGCATATCATGCACACGCTGTTGCCTCCCCACATGGTATAGCAAAGCGCTTGGCTTCCATTAGAGAAACTGATGGATATTTAACACTGTCCTTTCTCCTAGCAGCTTTCAACTCCAGGGCTGAAGGGTGCAAGCCAATGCGATAGCTCCTGTTAGGACAATTCTGCGGGCACTGTCTATCTAGCATGTGCATTGGACCTTCATCTATCATTAAAACCTGTAGTGGCTAAAGTTGGAAGACTGGAATTTTTTTTTTTAAATAGTTTTAATTAAAAGGTAAAAACCATTCTTAGTTCAGAGGAATACAAAACCAGGCAGGATGGTTGAATTTGGCCTCTGGGTTAGGGTTGACCAACCCCTGTTTTGATAATCAACAAAACAATAAATCCAGCCCTGGTTTGTAGCATTTGCTGATTTCTAAGATGTAAATGCTTGCACCAGGAATTTAACCATTGGCTCTTGCAAGCTGGTTCGAACTAGTTCCAGCACGCCCTGAGTGTAGTCCTCAATATCGATGCAAAATTTTTAAATAAATTTGCTAGGGAATTATAACAACATATCCAGGAAATATTTTGCTATAAACTTAGATGGATTAATAGCTACAGTGTAGGGATAGTTCAGCATTAGGAAAATAAATAGTATAATTAATCATCTAAATGACAAGAATAATAAAATCATTTGATTATTTCATCATTTGTAGAGGAAACCTTTATGTTATGGTCTCATGTTAAAAACCCTAAAAATATTAAGCATGTAAGGATCCTTTCTTTAATATGTTCAAAGACATAAATGACTTTATTTGAAATAGAGAAACATTAAAAGCTTTTCCAAAACAAATGAAAATAAAGCAGTGGTATTCTCTCTCTTCAGTATTATTTTAAAGGTGTAAACACTACCAAGGAGACAAAATTATCCCTATTTGCTGGGGGTATATGGTATGATGGTATAATTAGAAGAAGCTTATCAAGATGATAGGTTCAGAAAGATAGCTGGACACAAAATAGATCCACGAAAGATTTGGCATTTCTGTATAGTACCAAGAAGAAATGCTAATAAGATAAATTCCATTCAAAATAACCAAAAATGTATAAAGTATTTGTGAGCTAACCTACTAAGACACATGAAATATTTATATAAATAAAACTACAAAATAAAGAAGACAAATAATTGCACTAGATGGTTGGTTTGTGCTAGTTAAAATGATGATACTACCTCTGTTAATAGATTTATTACTCAATCTGTTATTATAAGGCCAATTATAAGGCTAATCAAGTTACCAAAAGGATACTTAATAGAGCTAGATTAAAAAAAAGAAGCAGGATGTATTTGGAAAGGAACAAAAGGTCTAGAAACTTAAAGAAAATGCAAAAAAAAAAGCAAAGAAGAAGGAAGAGGTAACCTTTTAAGACTAGCAATAATCATCAAAACAATTTAGTTCTTATTAAAAAGCAGGAAAGTAAATTGATGGAATAGATTAGATAAACAAGAACCAGAAGCAATGAAAAAGAGTGGCCCAGTGTGCAATAAATCCAAGAACACCAGTTACTGTTGGAAGGACTCTTTGTGATGATAACTACTGGGAAGACTGGAAAGTAGTTTGACAAAAATTAGGTTTATACTAGCATCTTACGCAATACACCACAAATTAAAAATGGATACATCACCTGAATATTAAAGATCCTACCATAAAAAATCAGAGAAGCAGATCATATACCTTTCAAGTCTGTGGGTATGAGATGAACTTTTGGGCTTAACCTCCTCAAAACACTCCTTTTCAAATATCACTCCATGCTCAAATAGGAATGATGGCTAAAAAGCCCATTATACTTTCATATTGCTCTAATTATTAAGAAGTTTTTGCATATATTACTTCACATCTGCCTTTCTGAAACATCCATATATGCCCTTACTTTTGCTCTCTGGTGTCAAACAGAACAAATCTAATAACTTTTCCATCTGACAACCCTTCACATACTTGAAGATTGCTGTTATATACCCCTCAAATGTTCTCTTAAAAGGATAAGTCCAAACTTTGACCTAGTTCCTGTTTTCTCTCCTCTTCTTGAAACATCTGCTGTATGTAACTTCCACTCATTCAACGAATATCTACTGAGGGCTTACTACATGGTTTTTATATCAATTCATATGACACTTCTGCTTGCTATGTCTTTTTTTCTCTCTCTCCTATCTCTATGCCTTTCATGTTGGTAGGCTTAAAAAATGTTTGTAGAGTTGATTTGAACTTAAGTCTTATTTTTCCTTCAAGATTCAAGTTAGGTCTTATCTCTATGGATTCTTCATCAACTGTCCCAGTTCACTGTGATCTCTTCCTTTGAACTCCTGTATTGTCTAGAACAGGGGTGGGGAACCTGCAGCTTCGAGGCCACATATGATCTTCAGGTGTGGCCCTCTGATTGAGTCCAGGTTTAAAGGATTTGTTCCATAAAGTTAGGATTCACTCAAAGGGCCTCATCTGGGGACCTACAGGGCCACATGTGACCTCGAGGCCACAGGTTCGCCACACCTGGTCTAGTACCTTTCATTTAGCATATGCTACATTCTAGTGTTATATCTTTTTACACATATATCTTTTCTTCCCAGCTAGTCTACAAGATAAAGTTCTCTTTGTATCCCTGTCCAAAACACACACACACACACACACACAAACACAGATCTACATGTACATATATATATCTATATACACACATATGTATATATGTGTGTTGATAATGATAATATACAACTAATTTTAATTTATTTAACAGTAAGGATTTGGTGGGTGGAGTACAAAAACTAGCAGTTAAATGGGTACAATTGAATGCCATTATTATTCTTTAGTATGCTTTTATTTTGAATAATATTTTATTTTTTTTCAATTACATGTAAAAACAATTTTTAACATTCATTTTTAAAAATTTTGAATTTTCAATTCTATTCCTTTCCTAATCCCTCCCTGAGACAGTAAGCAATTTGTTATAGGTTATACACATGTAATCATGCAAAACATATTTCCATATTAGTCATGTTGTAAAAGAAGATGCAGACCAAAAGAAAAAAAAAACAGGAAAAAATAAAGTGAAAAATAGTATGCTTCAAACTGCATTCAGACTCCATCAGTTCTTCTGGATGTGGATAACATTTTCATCATGAATCCTTCGAAATTGTCTTGGATCATTGTATTGCTGAAATTAGCTAAATCATTCACAGTTGATTATTGTACAATATTGCTGTTACTGTGTACAATGAGATTTTCCTGTTTCTGTTCCCTTCACTTTGCATCAGTTCATATAAGTCTTTCTATGTTTTTATGAAATTATCATTATTTCTCATAACACAATAATATTCCATTGTGATCATATATCACAACTTGTTCAGCCATTCCCCAATTGATGGGATATTTTTTATCTTTTTTTTTTATCTCTTTGAGACACAGACCTACTAGTGATATTGTTGGATCAAAGGGTAAGCACAGTTTTATCACTCTTTGGGCATAGTTCCAAATTGCTCTATAGGATGGTTGGATCAATTCACAATGCCACCAACAGTGCATTAGTGTCACAATTTCCCCACATTCCCTCCAACATTTATCATTTTCATTTTCTGTCATATAAGCCAATCTGGTAGGTGTGGGGTGGTTCCTCAAAAGTTGCTTTTATTTGCATTTCTTTAATTGTGATTTAGACCATTTTTTCATATGACTATAGATAGATTTGATTTCTTTATCTGAAAACTGTCTATTCTCATCCTTTGACCATTTCAATTGGGGAATGCCTTGTATGCTTGTAAATTTGACTCAGTTCTCTATATATTTGAGAAATGAAGCTTTTATCAGATATACTTACTGTAAAAATATTTTCCCCAGCTTTCTGCTTTCTTTCTAATCTCAGCTGCATTGGTTTTGTTTGTGCAAAACCTTTTAAATTTAATATAATCAAAATGACCCATTTTCCATCTCTTAATGCTCTCTGTTTCTTATTTGGTCATAAATTCTTCCCTTCTCCACAGATCTGACAGGTACACTATTCCTTGCTCTCCTAACATTTGTTTATGGTATCATCCTCTATATCTAAATCATGTAGCCATTTTGATCTTATCTTAGTATATGGTGTAAGGTCAATACTTAGTTTCTACCAAACTGTTTTTCAGTTTTCCCAGGGGTTTTTGTCAAATAATGAGTTCTTGTCCCCAAAACTTAGGTCTTTTGAGTTTTTCAAACACTAGGTTACTATGGTCATTCACTACTGTGTATTGTGCACCTAATCTATTCCACTGATCCACCATTCTATTTCTTAGCCAGTACCAGATTGTTTTGATGATTACTGCTTTATAATACAGTTTGAGATCTGGTATAGCTGGGCTACCTTCATATTTTTTTCATTAATTCTCTTGATATTTTTGAATTTTTACTTTTTCAGGTGAATTTTGTTATTTTTTCTAGCTCTATAAAGTAATTTTTTGGTAGTTTGGTATGTCATTGGTAAAATTGTCATTTTTACTATATTGGGTTGTTCTACCCATGAGCAAATGATGTTTTTCCAATTGTCTAGATCTGACTTTGTGTGAAAAGTATTTTGTAATTGTGTTCAAATAGTTCTTGGGTTTGTCTTGGCAGGTAGACTCTCAAGTATTTTATATTGTCTACAATTATTTTAAATGGAATTTCTCCATCTCTTGATGCTGGACTTTGTTGGTAATATATAGAAATGCTGATTATTTATGTGAGTTTATTTTACATCCTGCAACTTTGCTAAAATTGTTAATTATTTCAACTAGTTTTTTAGCGGATTCTCTAAGTATATCATCATATCATCATATCATCTTCAAAGAGTCATAGTTTTGTTTCCTCATTACCTATTCTAATTCCTTCAACTTCCTTTTCTTTTCTTGTTACTATAGCTACAATATTGAATAATAGAGGTCATAATGAGCATCTTTTAGCATTGCTTTTATAACCATTTTTCTTATGTTTTCCATTTCTATCAGACATTGAGCTGCTGCATGAAAATTTTACTGACATTGAAGCAAAAGATCAAAGGTTACAGAAAGTTAAAGTTATTCTTCTGCTGCCTCGTTGCTCTGGACTGGGTGTTAGCAACCCAATAGAATTTATTTTAAATGAGAACGAAGGTAATTGTTTTTAGCACAATGCCTGGCACGTGGTAGGCATTTAATAAATGCTTGTTCTCTTCCCCATACTTTTCCTTTGTGTCTTATGGGAGGTAAGTGATAGAAAGTTATAAGCAATTTATAATCTCAATGAGTAGTGATAGAAAGAAGCTAGTTTATTGAAAGCTTGTTTAGATACCCAGTTAAACCATATTACTCTTAGAGAATTTAGGGATGATCCTACAAGAAGACAGCAAATAGGGAAAAAAATGGAAAAGATCTGTCAGGTTATGATAACAAACTCTTCTCCATCAGAGATCCATTGGAATCACTACTTCTGTATACTAATAGTTATCATAGTCCTTAATTTGTTACATGTGGAAATAGAAATGGCACTGAATAAAGTACAAATGGTTTAATCTAGTTTTTTCCCCCAAGAATACATAGAAGACAGCTTTGCCAGGAGTGATACAATTGTGAGGACTTGGAGTGATTAATTCCCAAGATATCTAAATGAGGGGCTGGGTACCAAGCATTTAGAAAAAAAATCAGTTATTCCAAATAAGTACTAACTGATATTCCTACTTTCCTATCTCCATAAAATATTTCTATGAGTATAAACTATACATGTTAGTGGCATCCTTAATGAAGGTATGAGAAGGGAATATTGCAGGCTTTTGAAAAGAATATTCTACAGCAGACCATATCTTCATAGTCACAAAACTGACTGAAAGGTGCATATAATACAATTCTATTGTGCTTATTCTTGTTGACTATGAAAAATTTAATTTGGTGGAGCAAGATGTTATTCTCAAGGATTTCTATCAATAAAGTATCTCTCATGTATATGTTAAGATTTTACAAGATTCCTTGATAGATATAATAGTATAAATAGCTTTGTTACATAACCCAGTGATTATTAAGTCAGGCATACATCAGGGAAGATGTATGTATTTGCCATTGTCATGAAAGAGATCAAGAACAAAGTCCATGAAAGATGGATTCCCTGGAGAGATGAGGTCCTTCAGATGTTCATATTTACTAATGGCATTGTACTAAATTCATCAAATCCCAAAAAACTGCTGAGTCTCGTAAATGAGATAGATAATCACTCAAAATAATTTGGCCTAATTATCCATACAGAAAAAAACAAGGAGATGGGTAAAGAATGCCTATAATTCAGATTATGATAATTCCATTGAAAGAAAAGCCCATAGAGCTGGTCTTTTCACACTTTTAACTTAGATCCTATGTAGCTATGAGGTTTGGACAATCCCAAAGAATTAAAGAAACATGTAACTGAAAGGTCAGTGATGATACATGGTATAAAATATGTTATCAGAGAAATATGTGTTTGGAACTATAGGGCAACTAAGTAGTGCAGTGGATAGAGCACTGGGCCTTGGAATCAGGAAGACTCATCTTCATGAGTTCAAATCTAGCCTCAGACACTTGCCAGTTGTATGACCCTGGATAAGTCACTTAACCCTGTTTGTCTCAGTTTCTCATCTTTAAAATGATCTGGAAAAGGAAATGGAAAACCACTCCAATATCTTTGCCATGAAAACCCCAAATGGGGTCACAAAGAATTAAACATGTCAGAAAAATGACTTAACAACAAGAACATATGACTAGAAAAGGAGTTGTAGCAAGAGCCAAAGGTAACTGATGGACATCCTGTATACTCCTTTGATATCCATGTAAAGTTAATTGATCTACAGGATTACTGGGAAAATCCTGTTTTAATTATTTTAAACTATCCATTGATGAAAATTTTATATTATTTAAGAATGTAATTGAGGCAGTAGATGATGTAGTTAAAGGAAAATATCTGGTACTTTGATAAGTGGGATTAGAATGTGAGTATAACAGCATAGATGAAAAAATGAGTTTTGGGAAGAAAAAAATGATGATTGATTTATTAAATACTCAAGGTCACACCAGTAGTAAGTAGCAGTGCTGTTCCACTAGATTCTACCTCCAGTGTTCTTTCCTTTATGCCAGGATGCTGAAATAGTACAGAGAAAGTTATTTAGCATGCCTCCAAAAGGAGGAGGGCAGGCAAGATTGTGGATGTGTTCCATGTTTGAGAAGGTGACTGAAGCTAGACCCAGGGGACCTGGAGCAGGACATTTCACCCCTCTGAGCCTCAGGGTCATCATCTATGAGCTGGAGACAATGATGCAGTTGTGAGGAACACGCTTAAAAGGGATGTGAAGCACTAGTTCAAACCATAAAATGCTATATATGTATCAGCTATTTTTACATGGTTTGCCTAGAGTAATTTCTTAGAATCTCAAAGGAAAAAAATTATTTACTGGGGAATTAGAAGTACTATAACTTTGGACACATGTTCTACCTGAAAAAACTTTAATTTGTAGATGAAATAATTATAATTAAATGCTGGTAATATCTAAAATGTATTAAATGCATTGTTTCCTTTTCCTATTTAGATGCAGAATTGCTTAAAGATCACTCTCAAGGCTCCATTGCAAAAGATAAACTTAATGTTCTTGCTGAACAGCAATATAAACAACTAAAACATGCAATGCAGTGTAAGTTAGCTTTCATATCAATCTTGTTCTTCCCCCAAATATATACCTCATTACCTTATACTGATACCTCATTTATCCATATCGTCAAGGTGTTCTACATATAAATGAGTTTTCCTAACTTTTGAACTTATCTCTTTAAATGTCAAATTTTATATTTAATTATATATATTTAATAAATATATTTAATCATGACCATAATTGTATTTAATCATAATGATAAAAACATTCTAAAATGTAGTTACATATACACAGATGTATACATTACACATACACCTATGTATATATAAAAATCTACCTTTTTAGACATAAGATACTTAATAAATTTATCTCCTCTTGATGACTAAGGATTCCTCATGATGAAACATCAATTTTTGTACTATAAAGAAATAATTGTTCTCTTTGCTATAAGCTCTTTCTTCTTCTGCAGGTTTTATGCCTGTTTCTAAAAAAAATAACCTCTTCCTTCTAGTCTTTGTCTAGTTTGCTACTTTGAATCTTCTAGGAAGATCAGTTCGTGAAAATACACACGTGTGCTAAAATGATTATATTAAATAATATATCAAGATCCTAAGAATGAGCCAAAGTATATGGTTCAGTGTAGGGAATTTTAGACAACTATTTTGTTTGCTTATATACCTTGTTTTTGCCTACCTCTAGGTTTAGGGCTATCTTTAACAGCATTGAGGCTACTGTAAGAGTAATCTCCATATAAATGCAATGTTACTGTAGTTTTGGTGAGCACTAAAAAGTGTTTACTATCCATCACCAAATCATTTTATTTTTAGTCTTTTAGTCTTTGAGTTTAACTTCCTAATCTAATTAATTATTAACTTCTGGATTTGAATGAAATCATTAGATGATTATATATTTGTTCCCATTTAGTACCATTTATCAAAGAGTAGGTAGAGGGAACAGCTAGGTGGTGCAGTTATAGAGAACTAATTATAGCACAAATGGTCTTTGGTATGATATGCTGACCCATGTTATATGCTGATTTGCAGCTGAAATTTCCTGTATGTGTGATCTAACCCTATTAGAGTATGAGTTCCTTGGGAGCAGTCTGACTATTTTAGGAGTTGAGAGAAGGGAGCTGAAGTTATCAAGGAAGATTGTTTTGAAGAGGTGGGCTTGAATTGGATCTTAAAGTGGTTAGGCAAGTAGGTGGTGTATTTTAGAGTAAAGTGTTATAGCTGGGGATAATAGTTTTCTAGGTCAGATTTTGTTTTGGAGGCAGTCGGGGTTAAGTGACTTGCCCAGGGTCACATAGCTAGTAAGAGTCTGAAGCTGGATTTGAACTAAGGTTTTCCTGGATTCAGGGCCAGTGCTCTATCCACTGTGCTACCTACCCTCTAAGATTTTTAAATTGGGTGCTGTCTTGCCTTTTCCCTGAAAATCAGACTGGCATCTAACAGTGACAAATTTAACTTGGTTGGTGCAAAAAAGATGAAGATTGAGATATGTCTATTTACCCTTTTTACTCATTATGTACCCTGCCTCCCCCATCACTGCCTTATTGTGGCAGAGGGGCTTGCTTAGTTTAATTAAACTATGAGCTATGCTATGCAGGGTTACCTAAGATGGACAGGTCATAGTGGAGAGTTCTGACAAAAGATGATCCATTGAGTGAGAAGGAAATGGCAAACCACTCCAATATCTTTGCCAAGAAAACCTCATGGACAGTATTAAAAGGATAAAATATATGACATTGGAAGATGAGCCCCTCAGGTTAGAAGATGTCCAACACACTACTGGGGAAGAGTAGAAGACAATTACATGTAGCTCCACTACTAATGAAGTGACTGGGCCAAAGTAGAAAGGAAGATCAGCTGTGGATGTGTCTGGTGATGAAAGCCAAGTCCAGTGCTGCAAAGATCGGCATTGCATAGAAACCTGAAATGTGATATCTATGAACCAAGGTAAGCTAGATGTGGTCAGACAGGAGATGGAAAGTCTAAACATCCACATCTTGGGTATTAGTGAACTCAAATGGACAGGAATGAGTGAATTTAATTGAGATGATCATTACATATATAACTGTGGGCAAGAATCCCTTAGAAGAAATGGAGTAACCCTCATAGTCAAGAAAAGGGTGAGAAAAGCAGTACTGGGGTACAATCTCAAAAATGACAGAATGGTATCTGTTCAAATCCAAGGCCAACTGTTCAGGATCACAGTAATACAAGTCTATGCTCCCATCATTGATGCTGAAGAGGCCAAAGCTGATCAGTTCTATGAAACCCTACAACATCTTCTAGAAATAACACCAAAAAAGATGCCACATTCATCATAGGGGATTGCAATGCTAAAGAAGGAAATCAAAAGATAATTGGAATAACAAGCAAGAGTATAAAATGCAAAATGAAGTACAAAATGAAGCAGGGAAGAGACTAATAGAGTTTTGTCAACATAACTCACTGGTTGACTCTACACATGGACATCACCAGATACTCAACATTGAAATCAGATTAATTATATACTTTGAAGCCAAAAGAAAAGCTTTACACAGTCCTAAAGCACTCTTGAAGTGCTGCACTCCGTACGCCAGCAAATTTGGAAAACTCAACAGTGGTCACTATATTGGAAAAGATCCGTTTAAATCCCAGTCCTAAAGAAGGGCAATGTTAAAAAATGTTCAAATTACCAAATATTTGTGCTCATTTAACATGCCAGCAAGGTTATGTTTAAGATTCTATAAACTAGGCTTCAAGAATTACCAGAAGAGCAGGCTGGTTTTCCAAGAGGCAGAGAAACTGGAGACCAAATTGGCAACATTCATTAGATTTATAAACCCATATGTGGCCAAGAAGGAGCAGTCAGAACCAAATATGGAACAATTAATTGATTTAAGATTGGAAAAGGATTACAAGGTTGTATATTGTCTACCTTATTGATTTAACTTATATGCAGAATACCTCATATGAAAGGCCATGATGGACAAATCAAAAGCCAGAATTAATGTTGCCAGGAGAAATAATATTAACAGTTTGAGATATGCCAGTCTGATGACAGAAAGTGAAGAAGAATTAAGAAACCTCTTGATGAGGGTGAAAGAAGAGAGTTAAAAAGCTAGCTTGAAACTTAACATTAAAAAAAAAAAAACCAAGATCTTGGCAACTGGTCCCATTACTTCCCAGCAAATAGAGGGAAAAGAAATGGAAGCAGTGTCATATTTTATATTCTTGGGCTCAAAGATCACTGCAGACAGCAACTGCAGCCATGAAATTAAGACACTTGTTCCTTAAAGGAAAGCTATGACAAATCTAGACAGTATTTACTAAAAAGCAGAGATATCACCTTGCTGAAAAAGTTCCATATAGTCAAAGCTATGTTTTTTCCTGTAGCAATCTATGGTTGTGGGAGTTGGACTATAAAGAAAGCTGAGCGTGGCAGAATCAATGCTTTCAAATTGTACTGGAAAACTTTTTTTTTTTTTTGCTGATAAATAAAGTTATAACAGTTTTCGAATGTTTGTTCAAAGTTCTTTCCAACTATTTATTTAGTAGAGAATAAATCTTAAAAATAAATTTGAGTGAGATTTCTATAGAAGTTTTTGGCCATTGGACACTTAGGTTGCAAGCATGAGGGACTGAGGAGATGGTATAGCTTTCCACTGTAATAAGGAAATTAGAAAGTAGAGAGAGTTTAAGATGTCTAAAAGACAAATGGAACTGTGATATTGGAGATCAGCAGAGGGGTTAGGGATAGATAGGTGGATCAGCATTTATCAGCATAGATATTAATAGAATTATCAGCATAGGGATGATAATTAAGTCCATGGTGATCAACAAGTAAAATAGTCTAGGGGAAAAAGGGAAGAGGGTTCAGGACAAAGACCTGTGAGACATCCATGGTAAGTAAGCATGATGTGGGTAAGGATTTAGCAAAGGATATTGAAGGAGTGGACTGATAGGAAGAGAACAAGGAGAAAGTGGTGTCCAAAACACCTAGAGAGAAAAGAGTATTAAGGATAAGAGAGCAATCAATAGCTTCAGAGAGATTAGGAAGAATAAAGATTGGAAAAGGCCATTGAATTTGGCAATTAAGAGATCACTGCTAACTTTGGAAAGAGCAGTTCTGTTGAGTAAATCAGAATTATGTTAGGAAGCCAGATTTGAAGGGGTTAGGGAGGGAGGGAGAGGAGAGAAAGAGGAGGCACCTATTGTAGATGACCTATTCGGTGAGTTTGGCCACAAAACTCACAAAGAGATATAGAGCAATAGTATTTTGGAAAAGTCAGGTGATGGGTTGTTTTTTGTTTTTCTTTTTATGGGGAGAATGTAGATATGTTTGTAAGCAGTAGGAATTGAGCCTGCTGGAAAACTTTTGAGAGTCCTTTGGACAGCAGGGAGATCAAATCAGTCAATACTTTAAAATATTAACTCAGACTATTCATAGAAACAAAAAACATGAACTTGGACCAGACTTTGGGAGATAGTAGAGGATAGAAGGGCCTGGTGTGCTATGGTCCATGGAGTCATGAAGAGTCAGACATGACTGAAAGACTGAACAACAACAACAACTCATTGTGTGTTTGTAAACTTCAGCCCTATATCCTCTGCCTTGGGGTTTCCAGGTGGGAACAGTGTCTCAGAGCCCACTAAAATCCTGCCATCTACAAAGGGCTTTTAGTAATCCTGTTTTAATTATCAAATATGTCATGTGATATAGTCACTTTTTAATTTATATGTAGAGGTTTGTCTTTCGGTACCTTAGTTGATGCAGTGTGTTGCTAATGAAGTTGAGTTATGATTCTCTTATGATTCAGGTAGACTTAATGTTCTGTGGTCTCAGACAACATCCTAATCCTGGAATAGCCATATAGGAAATATGTATGGAACTTCAGGGAAGATGATGGAGTAAGCAGTTGCAAGTGAGCCTGTCTCTTTATGATCCTCCTCAAAAATAACAATAGAATTGCCCAAACAGAATTGCTAGAAATTCTCAAAAGGGAAATGAAACTCAATGAAAAGATGAACAAACCAAAGAAGATAATAATAATC